CAGCAAGAGCCCCATCAAGGCGAAGGATTTATTTTTTATGTCGGTATGTGTACTTAAACATGGCTCAAAGTGGGATCTCATGGCATATCTCTTCGAGATGAAACCAGCAACATTTGAAAAAAGGGTGACGAGTATGATTGCGATTACCTTCGGTTCCCTCGAGGAAGTGAATAATTTTTTTTCCGGGAAGCACAAGCTCTACGGATTTAAAGTAGAAGCCTCTGTGCTCCCCAGCGGCCTGGAAATCTCAGTAAGCAACCACTATCCCGGCTCGGTGTCCGATATCGAAATTTTGAGGGAAATGCTTCATTTTCATGACGATGCTTTAGAGAAATCGGGAAAGGAGTTGGCCATTACGGACATTAGGCGGTGTCAATCTGGTCCCGAGACAAATAAAGAGAGTTAGAGAAAGATGAAGTTTACTCCGGCTACCAGACCGCGCTCACCCTTGTAGATCCCGGCTAACGCCGAGACCATGTAGTGGTCATTAGTTTCGTCCGACACCGCCCTCCTTCGTCACACCCATTAGGCCCTGCCACTTCTGTGGCGGCAGGGGCCGCCAGCGCCGGAGCCTCGGCCGCACGCCGAGGGGCGAGCAAAGTAGAGAACGACTCTTAGACTTTGCTATATTCCGACAACCCGGGAGGGCGCGAGGTCACAGAGCGGCCGTCGCCGCCGACTTAATAGAGCACCGGGGTGCCAACCGTAGTTCAGTATCCTTAGTATCCTTCCCTTATCATACCTCAACCATCGCCACATCGACAGGCGGGGATCTGAATCGTATCCTAATCGATGGGGAGTCCTTTTGGACAAGGGATATGTAGGCATAGAATCGGAGGTTCGTGCAATTATCCCTAAGAAGAAACCTCGTGGGGCGGGGGTGCTCTCCGGGTCTGAAAAACGGGAAAATGCAGCATTGGCAGCAGACAGAATAATTGTTGAGAATTTTTTCGGTCGGCAGGGTACCCTTCGGGCTGTCGTTGCCAACAAGTATAGGTGGGCAGAAGGGGGGTATGATCGTATCTTTAGAATGACCGTTGCTTTAACTAACATTCATGTCAAATGGCATCCCCTCAGGGACGCTAATGGTAAGACGTACGAGCGCTACTTGAAACGCCTGCATGACATAGCGGATACTTACATATCGAAGCGAAAACGTGGGCAAGCGGCATACAGAAAGCGCCAGAAGCGGGCTGTGGAACGAAACGTAGGCGGTGGGGCGGCAGTGGACTCTGGGGAGCTTTTTGGTGTTGATTCAGCAGACGGTTTTTGAGCTCTTGATGGGCTCGTTTTTAGATTCGTACTGCTGCCAGTGATCTCATACAATTGTTGATTGCTTGCATATCCCGCATTGGTACACTTTTGCTCAGTTGCCGGTTTTCCAACCAAAAGACTGAGTCTCTGACGCACACACGTCTAAACATACTGAAAGATTGAGAGTCTACCACAAACACTGTATCTGATCCACATACAGTGCACCACACGATTTAGTGCTAGGGCCTGACACATCGCATAATGTGGCACTATTGGGGGGTGGCACTGCGAAAAGAGTCGTCCGTAAAGGTCTTAAAGGTCCCTTTTCAGCAATGAATCTTTACGCGTTGTATCAGACACAATATCTACGTCCAGTGCTCATTAATGAGCGTCTGCCTTGAAGAGTCCTTTCCTGACTGCGCCTTTGACGAAGTGAAAGCCTTCCTGGCCTTCCTTAAATGTACTGAGGCCTCTGTAACATCGCATTGATATGCTAATTCTTCCGACTCGCAGAACATAGCCGATACAACCACAGAAATCGGGATATTTTTCACATCTCTGCAATCTTCATCCGTGTCATCTGTATCCGTGAAATGACTATTGCGACCAGTAATAAATGTGCGCGCCAGGTCAAATGAATCATTTGCCATTCCCTTTACAACATTAGGCTCCTCCTCCACATATAACCAACTCTCAACGTCTCCAATCGTAATGTTCTCAACTCCATAGGGTGAAAATTCGTCGTCCTCTTTCACATTTAAACATAAATGCTTCATCATTTCCATTACGTTTCTTAAAACTTCTTTATCTGCCGATACACAACTACCATGCATCTTTCCGTACTGACTTGTGAGGTCAGCCTGCATCTCCAATGGCAGAATACCTGCTTTTACCCAACACCTGGCAATTGTTTGTTGGCTGACAGTTTCCCAAGTCATGTGGACCATTTCGGAAACATCAAGCATGTGAGGATCGTATCTATCCCTCATGCCTCTCGTTCCAGCGGTCTTTTTCTTATTTATATTGCACTTCGTGGCTCGGTCCTCAATATCGCGAACAATTTCCCGCAACATGTGATGGCGATAACGTATCTTCCAGCATGAAATAATTCCTAGATCCATTGGCTGATGCACTGATGTGCAATTTGGTGGTAGTGTCATTATCGATAATTGGCCTCTTACATCTTCTAAATCCGTACCGTGCGGACCGCAGCTGTCCATCAGGAGAAGAACGGGGTCAGATGTCTTAGACCTGACATATGGAAGAAAGACCTGATAAAACCATTTCTTAAAAGTAACAGCGTCGGACCACGCATTGGATTGACTAAAGTAGG